CAATATTGCAGCTGTGCATACGTTTGAGAATATCACCTTTAACTATTCTTTCCATAATCCAAGATGCTATGGGTGTGATATTGATTGGCCTATAGTTGTTGACTTCAGTTTTAGGTATTTTAATGTGGTTTTCCATTTATCTGGATAGGTTTGGCCCTCTAGGGACATTGTAAAGATCTTAAGTAATAATAGAGAAATGGCAGAACCACCGTGTTCATAAGAATGCGATGGTATACCGTCAATACCAGAACTACAAGAGTTTTTAAGAGTTTTAATGGCTTGGTTAATATTAGAATAAGTTAAATGAACTGTACTGATTTGTTTCAGCGCTTTAGAAGAAGAAAGTTCCATTGTAGATTGTAAACCGAGAAGTGAACTTGTGGGCTTAAGGTAGTTAGCTGCAAACGTCTCATTAAACAGTTCACACATGTCTGCATGGTTGCTGTATAGTTCGCCCTTGTTTATAAGGAGAGAAATTTTATGGCTTTGGCGATTCATTCGTTTCTTTAGGATTGCTGTGAGAGCACCTACTCTGGTGGTGCTGGCTAGTGAGGTGCATTCTTCATTTCTCATACGCAAGTCATGAGCTTGCGAGATGGAGCTAAGAGTATTAAGTATTGACCCTAGTGTACTAAAGTCGTGTCGTCTGAAGTAACTTGTTGACAGTCTCTTCAGTTTCCTACGATCCTTTGGCTTTATGAATGTCTTTCTATGTGGGGAAAACATTAGTGTTTGAAATGGGATGACAGCATCTAAGCATGTGTTGGAGTTATAGTAAAAGATGTCTAGAGCTTTCGAGAGGCTATCAGTATAGAAGTACTCTCTCCATTCTGAGGATCTTAGCATTGATTTCACTAGAGTCCAGTCTGCCTTACTGTAGTTCCTGTAAGTTATTTGTTGTGAAGTAGGGGTATGGGTTGCATTGCTACTTGACGGAAGTGGCAGTGCACACAGCTCTGTTTTGTGGTCGCTCCCTGGAAACTCAGAACCTACTAGGGTGGAAAGGGGACTTATATTGTGGCAGAAGATTAAGTCTGGTACGTTATTACCTCTTGTTGGGGTTGTGACAGTCTGTTTCCAGCCAAGTATATCCAGTGTGCCTAAGAACTTATCAAATTTAGTTGGGCCTGTGGGTATTTCCCAGTTGATTTCTGGTAAGTTGAAGTCTCCACATAGGATCTTATGATCGTAGTGTAGGGTGGATAATTGTTCCAGAGTATTAATAAGTTGGGTCTCGTAATTACTAAAGGTACCAGGTGCTCTGTAGGTGCATCCAATTAATACTATTGCGTTATTTAAGTGTAAGTTAACCCATAAAGTCTCAGGCATGTTAAGTGTACTACTTTCTAACCGTGATACAGTAAGTGCATTCAGAAAGTACATGAGACAACCCCCTCCCTCACCACCTTCCCTGTCACACCGAAAGTGTGTGTAGTTATCTAAGCTTATCTCTTCATCCAGTATGCTCGAATTACACCAAGATTCAGTGATGACAATTATAGGGGGTTCGTATATTACTGTGAGTGCTCTGAGCATTGGTAGTTTATTTAAAACAGATCTAGCATTTATGAGGATCAGGTAAAGATGAGATTTGAAATAGCATTTGAAGTATTTAAGTTCGTTAATCAGCCCCGAATGTGGTTCAGCATCCAGTAGTACTGTTTGACATGACGACCCTATGTTAAGAGGAGTTTCAGCATCATGCTCATCTATGTCTATCGAGTTGGTGTTTGCTGTTTTCGGTGAAGAATTAAGCGTTGGAGTACTGGATGTGCTATAGGCTAAGGCATTTTTATTTTTAGTTAAGCTGGAAACGTGGGTAGAGATCTTTATTTGACCTAAACTTGTGCATGTATCAGGTGTGCTTAATGGATGCGGGTGAACTAGACTGTTCCTATATTCATGCAAAGGGGGCGCCAGCACTAGCGGTTTAGGAGTGTTAGCATCCCTACCAGCTGTTTTTTCAACGCTGACAGGGACGCAGGGGATAAAAAATGATTGGGACCTTGTGATGACCATGGTTTATTATTCCACCTATTGTTAGGTACTAGCTGTGCCCTTGTAAGGTTTTCGTGTGTACTGCTTTTTGGGTTAGTTCCCAGCAGACTTGTACCATATATTCGATCAAAATTTATTTGTGTGCCATACTGTGAATACCCTGAGTTGTTGGTGGTCGAGTTCTGACTATTACCACTTGTACTATTGATGGTGGCATTGTTGTGGCGTTGGTTATCAGTGTGGGCCATGGTGCTATTTCGCACGTTGTGGGTGCCAATACTGTTGACCGTGGGAGATGTGGGCTTATTTATACTGCCATTTTTGTTGTTGGCATGATTTGGGGTCATATTCTTCTATTTTTTACCAATGGACTTATGGACAGGAGAGGACAGGGTCGACTTTCGGGGGATTTTGGCTTTTTTTCCGGGATTATTTGGTGACATGTCTATATCTACGGTGATAGGTGGTATAGTTTTATTGGCTATTTGATTACAATTAAGTGGCCTTTCGGTTGGTGTTGCAATCTGAGAAGATAATTCTGTGGGGTTTGAGAGGGGTGGTGCGGTGGGTTCTACGGTGTCTCTCAAAGGATTGGGTAAAATTGCTGCTTGCAATGTCCTATTGTTTATTCCACAATTAGACTCAGTGAGATAATTATATGCGCGCCTTTCTATGACTGTCCTGTCTACCGCAACCTTTATTAGTTTGTAATTTCTGGCTTGCGATAGGGTGTGTTGGGAGTGGATGAATTTTCTGGCCTCAGCCGGTGTTTCGAACTGAAAACGAATAGGACAACACTTTTCATGTTGACTCTTCTTCAGCCTGTAGCACTTAGTCTTGGAGTTGGGCATTTTCGCCTCACTAAGTAAGATGCGCTGTACCCTTTTTAGTGCCTCATTGTCCGGAACGTTGTAGACAATAGCATTTAGTTTAGCGTCGAGTCGTTTTGTTACTTCTGTAGTAACAAAGTTAATTAGGTTATCCACCTTAGATACCGATTCTGTGTCAAGGTTGTTAAGGTCTACAGTTTTCATGAGGATAGTTAAGGGTGTCAGTTCACAGACCTGCGATCTGATATCGCTGATCTGATCTGATAATTTGGATATTTTGGTATTGGTTTCAGAAATTCCAGGATTTACTGACTTCTTGTTTTTTATTTCCCTTAACTCGGCCTTAAGTTCTCCTATAGACAACTTTAGAAGTTCTATTTCTGAAGATATTACTGAAACAGAGCTTGAAGGCTGGAGCTTTTCGATAAGTACATAAGGTGTAGGGAGGGTTTCTGTATGAGCAGAGGGTACTGAATTTTTGGGAGTAGTGCTAATACTAGCTGTCAGTACAGTTTTATCCTCAGATTCAGCTCGACGCTTACGACATATAAGTGAGTTATGTGGCTCACTATAACCATTTGTAGGGAGTGTGTTGCTTGATGTAGCAATCAGAGACTTAAAATTAGTCATCAGATTTACAGGGGATTGAGTTCGTTGCTTTTTACTTTGGTTAACCATAACTATTTGATATGAGAGTTAATAGTTATAGGTATGGAGGAAGTAGAGTACTTGTGCAAGGATTACAACAAGATAAATTTTATGTAACGAATCACGCAAAAATGTAACGCAAACGTTGGACGTACCGCGTATTGAAGTCCCTAACGGAATGCCTTTCAACCTAAAGAAGTGCAAAGTAGTGCAACTTCATTCCGGCAGGTCACAGAGTGTAAATTACACCCTTGATGGCCAGAACTTGAGTTGTGTGCCATCAGAACGCGACCTAGGCCTTATTTTAACAGAAAAGCTAGACACCAGTGTAAATTACACGAGGGACGTCGCCAAAGCTTACGCAACTTTACACTATATGCATGGGCAGCTGGGAGCTCTTACTCCCGAACTATTCTTAAGATTGTATACGACATACGTGAGGCCACTCCTTGAGGTGCATAATATCATTGCTCCTCCGCTACTCAAAAGGGATGCTAACATCCTAGAAAGTGTCCAGAGACGAGTGACAAAATGGGTGATCGGCCTCCGCAACAAATCATATGAGGAAAGACTGAAGAAATTAAGTCTTTTCACACTTAGTTACCGAAGTCACAGGGGAGACCTCATCACCGTCTATAAGATCTTTAATGACCAGACCCACCCTAATATAAGCATCCTGCCATTAAGTGATTATAAGCTTCCACGAGGTAACCCGCTAAGGATAGCACACCAGAGACCAAAGACTCGAGTGCGTTCACATTTCTTCTCGCTTCGAGTTTGCCGTCTCTGGAACGCTTTAACGGCGGCCGTAACTACAGCGCCATCTGTGGAGACTTTTAAGCGGAAGTTGGACAATCATGGAGAAATGCATGGTTTACGTCTCAATGGCTTATCCTCTTAAAATTTGAAATCACACTGTCAATGGATAAGCATACAAGCTAAATCCCCACGACCCGTCCTGTCTTCTCTCACTGTACCGACTACTCTATCTTTTCTTTGGTCACCTTTATTATTTCACTTATCTCAACCTATATTATCTACACTACAACCTATTATTATTATTACTATTTTACTTTTATGACTACACCGAATGACCAACGGGTGTTAGGTCAAACTCCATTCACGACAGCAACTGAGTCCTAACACACTGCACACTACAAACCGCATCTTGACCAATCCTCGCACCACTCCTCTTGGAGTCTACCAGAGCTAAAGCAGTCGAGTGGCGGGATTTACTAAGCATAAGTTCACCGAAGATCTGGAACCTCTACCTTACAATCAAGAAGCGAGCTCAAAGAAATTACTGGTTTATACTAGCTCGTAATCAGGATATTGGATATGGCTTCTCCGGTTCATACAACTAACCCTGAAGGATCTGAGTTATGACTGCTATACTGTAACTTCACAGAAAAAACACTAGGGCCAGAGCGAAACTGCAGGGATTTTACGCGTAGTAAATGCGAATCGTTTGGCACTTTATTCTGACATTTTTGCGTTGAAGCTTTTAAGTCTTCAGTAAATGACCTTCGCGGTATCATTAATACTTTTAAGGTCGCGTAAATAAGACGGGGATTATTTATTGTCAGTCGAACTGTATGGTATGGTAAACCCGATTAAAAGCATGGCATGTCGACATGTTCAAAATATGGTTCAGAGTGTCTCTAAATGTTCTGGAAACGAGGCTCCTTATTCACCTGTCATAGACACCAACTCTGATTCGGCTTCTAGTTCCGTTAACACATCTAAGAGCTGTAAAATTTCAGGACAACCAGAGAAAAAGCCCGAATGTCACTCAGAATCAGATGAAAGATGTCATAGCAAAAATTGTCTTGCGCCTAACATATCTAGTCCCTGTGCTTTCCATTGCGAAGAAGACCAACAGTTACCTATTAAGTGTGCACAATCAAAAAAGATTTCACATGAAGGTATTAACGTGTAATGTTTAACTTCTGTCTAGACTTAGACGATCGCCAGTCTCCGAATGACTATCTCTGGCAGAAGTTGGAAGCGTTGATTGACCAGATGATCTCAGAGGAGGATGGGATTCCCGTCCGTAATGTAAAAAGTCTTATGTCCGTTATTCCCAGTACATTCACAGGTTTGTTACTTTTTGTATCTTTGTACTGTTTCCCCCGCAACCCTGTATATTTACAGATTAATATGTTTCATGCATGTCAAAACCGCAATTGTAATAAAAGGTATCAGCAGTTTGTATTCAGAAACAGATCCTATGTGCAAGTGTGACCTTGCAATGTGACATCAATTTGACGACATATTCACTTCGATTACGACCTAGGGAAAGTAGAAATGTGCCGTTGTAAAGTATTTTCATTTTAGACATCGAGCATCTTGTGTTGCTTGCACTGTCGTAGAAAGACATTACAGACGCCACGTTTGAAGGTAGAGCTGCAGAATCTATGCATAACATTATGGTGTCTGGAAGTTTTCCTCGGTATTTGGCTCTACTAGGGTTTCTGTTAGAAGTATGGAAATATAGATTTACCTACAACATGCTTGGTTTTTGTGTCCTATTATGCGCGGTTTGACCCCACCTGAGACACACCTATCCAGCTAATATTACATTCGTGTATTCTGTACACTTTGCCTATTGTCGAAAGCTTCCAAAGTTTTCTCTTCTGAAACCGACGAGTATAATAAATGAGAACAATATTTAAAAAGTATTGTTTCCAATTAAATCTCATCAGTCGTCTACATACATAACTCTGTCAGTAGGATGGTGTAGTTGTGCATGTATGTTTTGCAATTAGTCATAATCATAATAACTGTATTAAAATCACTGATGAAATATCAAGGTTATTTGTGATAACAAGGATGATGGAAGTTGGTATGATTATACAAATAAATGTTAGACATAGTAGCTAAAAACCAAGGAGAAGGAATAGGTTATATAATACTAGACCGTGGGGGAAGTAAATGAACCAAGTTTAAACAAAAATGTGACAAAACTAAAAAAGAGTTTATGTGCATCATTTTCGCACAATGAAGTATAAAGACTCATACTACTAAAGTAGAACTTCAAATACTGCGGATGCATTGCAGATAGTTTGACCACTCATGTCAAATAAGTTCCACACTGGCATGTGCGCCAAACATCTGCCCGACGCTTCTGTTAGTTGGAAATCTCAGGTATTCAAGGAACTTATATTTAATATTTGGAGTTGCTTGTGCTCCAATCGTTTTATGAAAAATGCCCACTTGCATATGTGAGAGAAATACAGCGTTATTTAGCAAAGATTCTTATTGTCTGTTTCATGTAATTGTAGCCGTATTGCTGGAAATTGTCTGTTTGTTGGACCTCGTGCTTTATTTAACATTTTGTCATGATGCACATATTATCATTCTGTGCGAGCACAGTGCTGTACGCCGAAGTGCTTTTGTTGAAAGGCGTTGTGTGCGAATTTGTACTAGTTATTTCACTCGAAATAGTATCATCGAAATCACACTCAAGACTATTTTTTGGCTGTTGAGTCGACAATACTGATATTCTGATCGCCTTCAACAGACATTCATAAACTAATAGTTTATGCTGTTCGCAGGAAGGATATATTTCACTGCTTATTTCTGCGGCAGAAAGATGTATTTGCACCGTGTCTAATTTCCATTGGAAGTTCAATGTTGTGCATGGTTTACAATAAGACCACCTTCAAATAGGAAGTTTAAGTCACCTCACAATTATGCTAATCCCTTTAGATATTAATGTTCTATAGTTGACCATTATGATCAGGTGGCGTTTCAGAATCAGTATTCTGAAAAGCATATCCTAAACGAGAAAGAGATTTAAACCTGTTAACAATGACAGATACGCTTTTGTAATGCAAGCTTCTTGTTGTAGTTATAAGCCTTGCGATTACTTCCATAACAGACGAATTTTATTTTATCAAAATGCTTTTTGTAGCCTTGTCTGCCCACAATTCGTAGTAAGCTTTCCTAGGTGTGAGCATAGTTCTTTCTAAGAGGTTTATTTAACTCTATTCGAAGAATGTCCACAAAATAATATGCTTATAATTTTTCTCTTTACTTTTAGGCAGTGATATCGTTCACTGGTTGATGGAACACACTGGTGCTAGCGATGTTACTGAAGCAGTTCATCTTGCTAGCCGTATTGCGTCTATGGGCTACATTTTTTGCATTGACGACCATGTGCTGACAGTTAAAAATGATGGGCATACTTATTACAGATTTCAAACACCTTTTCTGTACCCAAGTCGATGCATGGAAGCAGATACTGCAGATTATGCTGTATACTTGTGTAAACGCACTATGCAAAATAAACAAAGACTAGAGTTAGCCGGATTCGAAGCTGAACGTTTAGCTAGTTTACAGAATATTTACTGTCACAAATGGGAATTCATTTATATACAAGTAAGTCAGTTTGGAAACATTACCGGCTATCTAAACTATACAAGAGTATACACTTTCATGAATCGAAGAATGAGTCACGTGTATTGTGTGACGGTAATGACGTTACTTACATAACCGAACTGTATTATGTGAAGTTAATTTTAAGTGTGTTAACCACGTGTTAATCTGGATCAGCGAACTACAACTTCCCTTTAACTAACACTCAGTGCATCATAAGAAAGTTTATTATACTGACCAGTTGTTTAGATCTATGTATGCGGAATTGTTCAGATCACTAAATTGATAATTTTTAGTCTGCTACCTATAGCATTGAACCACAACTCTGCGATTATCCAGTGAACTAATCAATTACTAAAGTTTATGGGTTTAGTTTATACACGTAAAACTTGCGTGAGAACATTTGTGCTCTACTCCCACGATCCCAGTGAGAATTCATATATGACGGAAAATAAATGTGTAATCACAGAATTTGAAAGACATCTAGGTGGATTGGACAACATATGCAGATGGAAATTTGTGTCCGTCTGTATCTATCAAAGCAGTGTGATAACAATAGATTCATCATTAATAGTGGACATGGGTTGGTTAAAAAAACACATCTTCCCACCATCATATCTTTCCCAGATTCTTATATGGATTCGTTTTCAGATTCATGTCATAGTGAACCTTGTTATACTATGAAGTCAGCTGGAGTTGTAAATCTCTGTCAATTCAGATCCCTCAAACATATTTAAACATGCTGAAACACCATCTTGCTCGACAACATGGGGTGTTGAAAAGTTATCAAGTCAAAGCATGTCACGAATTCTTTAGTCATTGACTGTTATTGTAAATAACTTAGAACAATGTACGTTGCTAGGCTGAACTCCTCATGGTGCTCGGAGTTACCGATCGAATTCTCTGATTGAATTGGTTGATTAAATTTCGCAGTATACTTAATATTTGGCGCCCCCTTACATAATGAATTCCTTTGTAAAGAACCTGAAATCTTGTCTTGGAAAAAAATCAGATAATCTCCGGTCAACAGTCTGTTTTACGTCATTCATACGTAGTACAATTTTTTATGGTAGGTGTGTGGCTTGTCAGTTTTTACTTAATGAATCCCGGTTTCTCGTACATCAGGCTAGATAACCATCAAACATATAGAAAGCTATTTTAAATGGTATGTAAAATTTTGATAACCGCAAACCGTGGGACTTCGACCCGTGATGTTACTTTGCTGTATTGTTGTATTTGTTGTATTGAAGTCAAACACTTGGAGAGTGGTCCTTGAAAAAAACCTTCTTTTCAGCCTGTGCGTCCAGGCAGTTTTCTATGCCTCTTGTAAAAAATATGATAAGATAACTTGGTGAAACTCACCATTCTTAAAACCTGTATGTATTCAGTCATTAAATCCACTGTCGCTATGTTATCGTTATCCGTATACATGGACTGTCCCGCTTTTTATTTTTAACCATCATATGTATTCTTATATTCGTCGGTTATTCGTTACTGTTTGAATTCTCAGTCTGTCCTTACCGTTTTGAGTGGCTAATGATTTCATTTTAGAAAATTGACTTCCATTACATTATCTAACATGGTTATTCGGATATCGTGTGTCGCAGTCACCATTTACAATCTTCGCACATTAATGCGAATCCAATAACATGCTCAGTCAGAACTCTGGAATGTCTCGCTGTTGATATATACTGGATAAAAGATTTCAGCACACAAAATCCCAGTGAAATACTGTACATTACTTCTTCATCATTCATGTGAAATAATACGGTTCGAGTCTATCTACTCTGGGACCCTGCGTCATCGACGCCCCGCTTCCGGAGTGTTATTAAGTGATAAATCCAAGGTGTATTACTGAGGTGAACTCCCCTAAGCAAATGTTTATGTGCTGTTATATTGAAAGGTTATATTAGAGTTAAAGGTATCTTAACAGCGAAGCTTTGTTATTTCTTTTTCGATAGATAGCCTTCTGAATGCAACTAAAGATGAGTTCTGTCACAAGCTGATTGACCCTCTTAAGGAAGGTTGCCTGAAAGATGTGCAGTGCTAAATGTGGACTGTGAGGAGAAAATCAGGTGTCTAGGCTCAGAGGAGAGTTGTTCAGGTGATCATTAGTCAATAGGTGGTCGCATCTCAAATGAAGAAAACTGTCTGCTGCAGCTTTGCGCGTATCAGAACATATTTATTTGAAGCAACAACTTCCAATATATCCGTACTTCTGCCATTCAAGCTTAGACTCAACTAGATCTCGTAACAGCTGCCGATGATGTGGGTGCATACGTGGCTATCATCTTGTCCTCTGTATTTCTATCTTTCTACAATGTGTACCAGATTTTCTCGCGATTTGGCAGTGATTATAGACGTCGTTGTGCACCTTCTAATATAGCCAAATGTCAATATGATCTAGATTTAGGGCTACCTACTGACCCTTCAGAGGGTATAGACCAACACCGCTTGTATTTAATGGACACCGATGAGATCGCAAGTGAAGCCGCTTGAAATTTTATCATATTTTTTAAATACAGCCATTATGACGGTTTGATATCGTAAGCTGTTAATTTTTTCACGTTAGATTGTGTTAACTGATCATTCAGTTTTCACTTTTATACATATTATATACTTTTTAACTATCATATGCGTGTTACATATTTAATTTTTCAGGCTGAAGCAGAAGCTAAAGTAGATAAGAAAAGAGATAAATTGGAGAGATTGGTCCTTGAGTCACAAGAAAGAGCTTATTGGGATTTACATCGGCCTCCACCAGGTTGTATCAACACAACTGACATTGATATGCGTAAATTATGTCGTGCTAAACGTCCTAAAAAGACTCCATCACGACCTGTGAATTTCCCTATTCCAAGTGGTCCAGGTCAGTTTGTTGCACAAGTGTTTAATTAGCGTTATCCATAAATTTTGTACTGCCAATTAACCGTTTTAGCTAGAATTGTATGATTCGTTTGACCCCTGCAAATTTGACTTATCGACGTTCATATAGCGTCTACTTCTGATGAACCTCAGTATCAAATATCTGTATCCTCGAATCCATCTCCCCCAAATAACTTGATGAGTTACACTTCGACAACTCCATCTCCAAACAAAGAGACACAACTGTCTACAGGATACATATAAAACCTTAATTGCAAGCTGGTTCGTAGGTTGATTATCAGATCGCACCACACTGTAATGTACAAAAATGAAATCAACCTCATAAACAGTGATATGCTTCAATTCTTGAGGTCTCATAAGTGAAATATACATCACATGGCAATTATTTATGTATCGTGAGATAACTTGGGAATATGGATGTGTAGATAAGCACAGAATTGTTTTTTAAAAAGGAGTAGAATAATTCACTCACACATCTTTCTATTAGTTTCTAACTTCTGTTTCTTGCAGTCACTAAACAGTAACGCTATTGGAAATCGGCATCCTAGTACAGGTTCACATAACAGATTATGAACCACGTTGATTTTGTGAGGATTTACGCTACTAGTTGAGTACTCCGGTTGAGATGGAATGTAAATTTAATTAAACACCCAATATTTAGAACTCAGATATCTACAATAATAAGCTACAATGTATTATCCTCGTTGATTTAATATTATCCTTGGCATTATGCATACAAGTGATTACAAATACAAAAAGTTATCTTTTCTTTGGAACGGAAGCAAATTTACTTGAGTACATACTTCAGAAGATGTGCACGTATTATTTCAGTGAGATTTCTCAGTCTAAATGATATCAACCCAAACCATTTGGACTCACTAAAGTCAACAGAATCCAACATATCACATTTCCTATCTAACTTAATTAAAATAGGTAAACCGAATCATACTCTAAGTCTGACTTTAGTGTGTGGATCATAGTTACACAAACTTCCTCTATAACTGACTGAGTTTCAACACTGAATTTCGCACAAAGGTACAGCAGTTCAAGCTGCCACAGTCCATGTAGCGCACAGAAGTAAACAAGAGAGAGGGAGAGAGAAAAAGAAATTCAAAAAAAAAACTATAGGATGACGATCAACCCCCTACCTCAACTTCATTGACTTTGAAATGGCCTTTGTCTACGTTGAGAGTGAAGTAATTTAGAAACTACTTCAACACTACGGAGGGCCCCAAATCTTCATCAACGTCATCCAACAGCTATATGACAATGCCACTTGTCAGGTAAACTCAACTAAGGTTTTGAAGCGAATACAGGAGTAAGACAATGCTACCTACTACCACTGATGACATTCCCAATTGTGGTGGACTGGATTATACAGCAGCAATACTTTACACCAATACGAACACTGTAAATCTGAATTTTGCGGATGATTTATGTTTAATGCCACACAAACTCAAAGACTTGCAGGTAAAAGCCAAGAGAGTGGCAGAAGAAGCAGAAAAGACAGGACTTCAAGTAAACATCGAGAAGACGAAGGTGATGAACAACCACATGAATCAATCACTATCGACGGAGGAAATTTGAAAGAGGCCACTTCATTCACTTTTCTAGGTAGCATCGTTTCAACTATAGGCTGTGGCACAGATGAGGATGTCAAAACCTGAATAGGGAACGCCAGGCACACCATCACTCTGAAATCAGTTTGAAAATCTTCTGCACTGCACTCAGCATAAAGAAAAAATATGTGGATTTTCAAAACCAGAGTTAAATCAGTCAGTCACTTCTTCTCTATGGGTCAGAAACTTGCACTGCACATCACGAAAAGCATTTCCAACAACTAGCAACAGACTTTTATCAACAGCTGCCTTAGCTGGATCGATACTGAAGATCAAACGGTGGTTGGAAAGGATTAGCAACAAGAAACACTGCAGTGGAACAAACCGACCAAGAGCCGATTGCTCGACAAATATGTCGGAGAAAATGGAGATTGATAGGGCATACGTTGAGGAGGCAGTCGAATGACATCGCGCGCAATGCGTACCATCGCTCGAGTGGAATCCGAATGGGCAGCGACGAGTGGGTCGTCGGTGCGAGGGTGACATGGAGGAGGTGGTGTGGTGAGCAGGAGATGAGAGGTTATTGCCAATCGCGCACCCGGATGAAGAGGACAGCAGAAAATAGAACAAAGTGGAGATGTGTTGTTGAAGCCCTATGTACCACTCAGAACCCAAGGGAGTAACAATAATAAAAGAGAAATGTGAAGGAGAAAGAATAGTAACACAGGAAAAGCATGACAGCTTAGTGGATATGGGTGATTACAAAGAGTGGATTCATCTGTGAATCTTCAGTGTAGCGTTTTCATCATTTGACCTACGTTCATTTTCTCAACTCTTAAAGCGCTATTATTTTTCATATAAATTTCTATGAAAATTTTGTATGTGTTCAGCTTGTTTGAAATGTGTTGCGCTAACCCACTACACAATTCTGATAATACAAGTCTTCTTATCATATCGTGTAAATTCATCAATGGAATGAATTGTTTCAAATATTATACGTTACCAGTGTTATTGCTAGTAGGTAACATCATGGTTAGGAATTCTAAATTAAAGTAGAATAGTTCCTTTGTGCATTCTCATATCTAGATGTTTTCTATCATCTACCAGGTGATAATGAAAACCCATGAAAATGCGAGCAATTTTCTCATGAAAAATACGTTTTTGTTTACTTTAAGTGTGATACCTCACTTTCTATGTAAGCTATTTCTGCACATTTCAGATGGATCCATTCTATTCTCAGTTTTGGATGGTCTGTCACCACGGGATCGAATAGCTAAACTTCATGCTTGTTCACGTACAAGAATTAAACTATCAAAGGCTGCTGAAAGTTTACAAGTATGTTTCTGTTTATTGAATGGATTTTACTCCTATTGACTTACAATATGCAAGATTGTCTACTAATTATGTGAATCAGACATGTGGCATGTTTAGTAACTGACACTATACTGACAAACAAATTTGTGTGACGGAATGGAAACAGTATGTTTTCTTGAGGTTCTCGATACTTCCAGTTTTCGATAACTTAAGGGAACAAGATGGTTGTAAAACTTTAACTCTATGGCTGAAAATTGATTTTCTAAAACGAGGATCACATTGGAGTAATTAGTATGGAGAAGAGTAAAGATGTGATTCACTGGCCGAAGAGCTTGGTTTACATCCCACAAGTCATTGGTTCGTGTTCCGCTCCGCCTACTTCAGCTTTGGTAACTAGATAGCATCATCAGTCGTCACTCGATAAGTTTCACTCTTAGTCTGGTAGATAAAAGATCTGTTCCCCGCAACTGAGTTTAAACAAATCAAACAGTATTAGGGAGGAGTACATACTACCCACCAGGTTGCTTATCGCGCTTTTTGTGCAAAACCGTAAAGCTTTACTCTTATTGACCTTGTTATGTGGAGCGACCTGTAGATATGTAATCCATTAGTTAAACTTCAAGTGTAGCAGCTGTCTGTAGATCATTTTTGTCTCCCTTTATCCAATAGAAATTGGTTGACTTCCTTGATCCACCGAGGAAGGAGGCTCTGGAGTCGTTGTGCCACAGGATGATACTGCATACCGGTCTTGTCTCGCAAGAGGCAAGGATAAGTATGTTCGGTTCTCCTAAAAACCGATACCCAGTCAATGAGTATACCATTATAGCTTCCTTGTTACTGTATTCATTTAATATATCACAATATAAAACAGTATTATCCACTGAATAAAGTTTTGAATACAATTTATTTTCAGAATTACATCAAGGTGACTTCAAGACATGTCTTTTATTGTCTTTTTTTATTCTGTTATCAATCAAAATAGGAAAATTTCTCAAATATCTGGAGCTTGTTCTGCGTCATTCCAATTACAAATTTTCTAGCACTAATTGAGTAAATTAGGTTATTTTTCTAATTTTTTCTAATTTCAAAAAATGATACCTTATCCCATCCTGTTGTATGTATTGGTCTAATCAATGTTCTATTTAGATTCTTCAGCGTGTGAAGGTCTGTCATTCCTGATTTAGTCAAGTTTTGTATTCTGATAAACTTGGACCAGATAACAGTGTATTATAATGTTGGAGTTTTACTTTAATATCCATCTTATTTCTTATTCCAGAACTATTCTGATCAGTACTCTGAATTCGACCTATTGTTATTCACATCAACATCTGTTGGATTTTCTTCTCCTTCGGGAACTGGTGTAAATCAACCAAATACACTTGCTTCCACTGGTCAGTTGATATCAGGTGGCGGATTGAATACTAATGCTAATTCATCATCCTCATCTGCTGTACCTGGATCTATTCTGCGTTCATCTGGTGATAAATTGATTCATCATACACGAAGTATATCAGCGACTGGATTCAATGGGATCTCATCATTAACTTCTATGTCACTTGCGCGTACAGGTAGTGGAGTAGCAAATGGTGCACAAAATGTTACTGCAAGTGGACAGATTTCCAGTGGACATGGTTCGTCTGGACATATGGTGAATGTTGCTAGTGCACCCACTTCAGGTAATTAATTGATTTAATTTGTCTGTCTGTCTGGGTTCAACATAGAACTTGGCACCGAAGTGCAGCAGTTCGAGTTGCCACGTCCATTAGTTTAATTTATAGAAATTTGTGCTATCCTTGCATAATCTGATGTACATTGTTGTCATAGTGTTATTTCTAATGTCTGCAGTTGAGTCTTCATCGTTCTTTAAATGTAGGCATAACCGACAATTCAAGTTAAATGGACCTCTTTCTTATAATGCTATTCGAAAGGATTGTCTAGAAGTCTGGGTTTCCTCTATAGCTGTTAGTCACTAACACGACGCTCAAACCGAAGTCCCCGGCATATAAATGAAATTTATCATCTATTATTATGAGTCAAATTTTTCAACAGTATTTCTAATTCGAATACATTACTCACCACTATTGCTTTCTTGTTATCATTATTATTATTACTTGTCAGTGTATGATCCGACACAAGAACCAGTTAGTGCATTGAACCCATGGATTTCAGACAATCCAGATTATTGGAATACAGATGTGCGTCCTAAATACTTGCCTATTCGTCGTATTAAACGTTGGAGTTTTTCAATTCATGAATTACTGAAAGATCCAGTTGGCTTAGAAGAATTTCAACGGTGGTTAGAAAAAGAATTTTCAGCAGAAAATCTAAGATTTTGGCAGGCTTGTCAGGTAAGAGATGTTTGTGTGCGCTCATTTGTCTGTATGTAGTTTGATTAAAAACCAAGAAAATAGCTAATTGACTTAGAGTATATTATTATTATTCCCTTGGGTTCCGAGTGGAACATAGGACTTCGACAACACATCTCCACTTTTTTCTATTCTCTGCAGTCCTGCTTAGCTGGTCCCATGATTACCCATTAGCTTTCATATCCTCCTCACACGATCTCCTCCATGTCACCCTCAGACGCCCAACTAGTCGTCTCTCTTTCGGGTCCCCCTCGAGCTCTGGCTTGGCGTGCTAACTCACCCAACAGTCTACTTAACGTGTGTCCGACACGTCTCTATTTTCGTCTACATATTTGTTGAGCAGAAGGTTTCCGGGTGGTTGGTTGCCAGAGTTTCTTGCTGCTAATTCTTTCCACCCACCATTTGATCTTCAGTATCGATCCAGCTAAGGCAGCTGTTGATAAAAGTCTGTCGCTAGCTGTTGGAAATGCTTATCGTGACACGTCAAGTTTCCAAATGACTGACTTAACATTGGTGTTAAAAATCCGGATTTTGTTCTTTCTACTGAGTGCAGTACAGGTTTCCAAACTGATTTTAGGGTAATGATGGTCTGTCTTGCCTTTCCGATTCTGGTTGGTTCTGACATCCTGATCCGTGTTCAACTGTCTGTAGTTGAAACGATGCTGCGTAACCAGATAAGTGGAGGAAGTGACCTTTTTCAAATTTCCTCCGTTGATAATGATTGATGTTTGTTGTTGTTGCTGTTGGCTAGTTATCTTCATCACCTCCGACTTCTCTATGTTCACTCACAGTACACAGATGATATACCTATATTGAATAAAGATGTTGACAAAATATAGAGTGCTCTACGCCTTGAGCTTAAAATCTAGTCATGTTTGGTATGCTTTTCGTCCGTGTCAAGTGTCAAATAATCCTACAAAAATGGTTTGCATTAACTTATACTTTAAAAATAAAGAGTGAAAGTGGTCAAATGTTCTGACTGCTGACTATCCAGGATGTTGTATTAGTCTAAATGGACGACTTATTGCTGACGAAATTTCAGCGTGAATACGAAACGTTCATTTGACATCCGCTAACCCTGCGTCATCTTTGGCGTCGGAGAAATATTCAGCCATATGTCAGTGAACATGTATACTGTGCAACAGTTCCATCATTGACATATCAAGTATTGATTGGACCAATGCGGTGAGTAGTACTGTTATGCGTCGTATTAGATAAGGATAGTCAGTCACTTGAAGTGACTAGACTATGTGTCACGCATGTTTAGCCACCGTCCTCCTCAAAGATTAATGTCAATTAAAGTAGGATTGAGTTAGAAAAGAGTAAAAAAGAAAGTAGTCATGTTAAAGCATAACACGAATCCATGAATATACTGATTGTTAGTTTAAGTCATGAAGGTATATGTAGTTGACACGGCTGCTATTGTTGTGATGCTAAGCACTAATTATTCGATACTTAGCGAAAGAGATCAAAACTGTATATAGTAGCGCAAATGTTTTTATTCTGTCATCTTTGAAACTTTAAAAATCACTACTGTTGAACAAGTCAGTCTTTTCCTCAGACTTTTGCCCATCATACTATTATTCTCTTTTTTTTGTATACTCTTGAACTGAGACACGTCTGTGTAAAGCTCAACGTTGATTCTTCAGTCAAACATTGAATACATCACAATTGTACATGTATGTATAATCTATGTATAATCTATCTATAATTTATGGAGATTTCTGTGTACAGACTGTACAGCTTCTATGATGACTGCTTCTACTTGTGTAACTACTCTGTGTTTTGTAGCTCAGATGGATTTATGACATTCAGTCGACACTAAATAATTTATCTGCCATCTATTAACCTTTATTTCTTCCCATATTGTCGTACAGGAAGGTACAAATTCTGTGTGAGCATTGATTGCAGCACAACCATATAATGGAGTCCAAGGATTTTACATTATTATTTTGTAAGGAAGAAGACTTAGAAACTATGCGTAGGAATCTTTATAAAATTGAAATTGAGGTGATGTTTAGACATTCAAATCCACTCAGAAAGAATTTCATTCTAAGAATTCCGTTGGTTCATTAAACCTTCCAGTTACAGGTCAAGCTCTAGTGGGAAGTCGTGGCCAGTAGGGTGCAGTAGGTCAGGTTTGAGAACAAATACTCGCCGATGACATTGGCTATTGGTCGCTCTATTTCGCGAATTAATAGAAGTTGGAATTCATCGACTGGCCATTGGGTCGGGTCCCAGTAGCTTAATGGTCTATGACCTCGCTTTGTAATCGGAAGGTCGCAGGTTCAAACCTTGGTGGTGATTGCACACTGATGAGGAGTCCCAAACTAGGATGACGAAACAGCTGTCCAGTACTCCCTGGTTTTCCAATGGTTCTCTAATCGATGTCAGCTCATGATGAAATCCTGACACTAGTCGTATGCACATTTTCTACATGAGGTACAAGACTTTGTCAATAATGAGATTCTGCTACTTAGATAATTAAAATAGTCAACCTGAACTAACACTTTTTGGGGGCGAGGTGGAGTCTTTTTGACTTCAATTCTGCGTAGTCTCTTCTTTCCATATTTCATTCTTAAATAATAAATCATGACCACGCGTATTTCAACATGAACAGCTCAATAATTTATGTGGATTCAGTTGACAAAATTTATTTTTTGTATCTCTTAAATATTTTTTTCTGCTGTGAATGTTAGGTGCTAAAAGGTGCTCCTCTTCGTGAAGTTCGTCAATCAATAATGAATATATATCAACAATACCTGGCACCGAATGCAGTAGAACCAATAAATATTGATAGTAGAATTGCTGATCTAGTTCGACGTCATATAGACGATGAATTGAATACAACACCGAATCGATATTGTTTTGAAGCTGCTGAAGAGCATATTTTTCATCTGATGAAATCAGATTCCTATTGTCGTTTTCTACGATCTGATGTCTATCGTGAATTATTTCGTGGTGGTAAGAAAAAATCTAAAAAACAACGTAGTGTAATAAATACGAGTACTTGTTCAGCACCTGGTGGGGGTGGAGCAATTCAGATTGCTGCATCAGTCAATTTTACTGGGATTGAGTAATCAACCCGATTGGGATAAACAATCGCATTTTAAAGTATCTTCTTTAACCAAATACACTTCAGTACTTTCTTTGTTTCCAATTTAATTTTTCTGCACTTTATCATGGTATATTGTTACTTATGAGATTTAATTTTCACAGTCAATATTATGTGCAATTTAAATGTTTTCAAAGTTTTTAAACCCCCTAAAGATCTATGCTCTTTTAATTCTATCATTGTATGTTCGATTAAGGGGGGGGGGGAGTGAAATCAGATACCTTTGGTGACTTCAACGCTTTCCATCCAACTAACTCTTCATCCGTTTCTTCTTACATCCAGTTTAGAGTTTAGTCTCCATCATTTCATTTGTCGGCCTAGTTGTGGAATGTGTTTAATATAACTTGAATGACTAGTCAACTTACAGAGGCTTGAAATTGACATCTTGTCGGCATTTTCTTGGACTGGGTTTCTTTTTACTGGTTCAACACGCGTATTCTGTCATTCCTACGAACAAATTTAATGAGTCAGAAAGTGAAAAAGGATTATTTATTACGTTGTTAAAGTTATTAAGTGTTCCACTGTGATATCTCAGTCTTTTCTTTGTTTTCATCCTCTGAAGTCCTATGCATTTATTATTATTTATATCCACTAATTTGTGTTTGTGAATTAACACGTTATTCAGTTTGTTTCTTTTCAATCTTCCTCTCTTTCCTGAATAATTCTGCTGACATTTATTTATTTATTTTGTTTGTGACTGCTTTAATTGAATTTGTTTAATGCTCAAACATTTATCAATCATTGGTGTCCATTCCACATAGTGTTGTTGCGTTGGGCAGCGGAGTTTAATTAAACACAGGAATGTTTTTTTTATTGTACAGGTTATTCTATATATTTATCATGCATATTTCATTCTGGGAATATTTTCTAAGCATTTGGTACTCTGTGGTTGCATTTAAACTAATTTGACTTCTGATTTTATTATTTTACTTATTACAGATAGTTTATTTATTGACTGTGATCTTAATTTAATTTGGTTTTTTTCGCATATACTTATTTGACTACTTACAGTGTTTGTTTAAGTAGTGATCTGTGCAGATCATTCATTATTGGGCACTGTGATGTATGTGTGGCTATTATCATTGATATTTTACTTATTATTATTACTATTATTTATTCAAAATTTCCGCTTATCTTAACTGCATAGTGTAATTTTATGTGATAGTAAACTAAATCGTATTGCTGAAACTTTCGTCACACCAGTTACTTAGAATTATAAAATCATGTCATTGATAACCTGATATTCTTTGAGTAAACTATCTGAGCGTTGTTGTTAAACGAAAAAATTTCAGTTTGGTTGGTGACATGTTTTGATAATACGGAATGGTGAAGGCCTGATATCCAGCTATCCATCACGGGACGTGAACGCCGTATCTAGAAGTTATGCTAAATGTTTGTGCCCATAGGGTATCTTCGTTCATTTGCTTATATTAGGAATAGAAATATGATAGGTATTGATATTGGTTGTTGATAAACTTTATAAGTTGGTCGACGAAGTTATGAAACTTCATGGATTCATAAGGCTAAGTCGTGCGGTACCCAAGCACAGTTACTGTACTTCTTGAAAAGCAGTATTAGCTAGTGTAAAATTAATTCGTTAAAACATAGAGGTTACCAGACCGAAATTGATTGCTTGCTTTCCAAGTGGAACATAAGACTTCAAGCATTGAATTTTTAGTAGTGGTGGCGTTGTTTTTATTTGGGTGTTACTAGCCTCACGTCCAACCCCCGCTTTTCGGGTCTTACCAGGGTTTAGGAGAGCGCCGGCGGGGGATCGAACGTGGACCTCCTGTATGACTGGCGAATATTCTACCACTTATGCACAGATATTAGGAATATACTCAAAACATAGCTCATTCTTGAATTCACTGACTTTAGATGTCAACTGCGTATGAATATATAAGCCAAATGTCAGAGGTTGACAAGATGCTAAGGATCAGTGGTTAAGTACTTTAAAGAATGGTTCAAAACCATCCACAATAGTGCAAACGTATTCATCCTTTACTATCTTCCAGATTATGAGCTACAACTCTTCATTTAATTATTCTCTCTCCCATACATCGTTCATTATGCTTCTGTTCCCCATTGTAATGTGGGACACATTGCAGAAGACGACACCAATATACTACTCACAAATTCTCGTCAGTAACACGCCCCACAACAGTATGTAAATGATTTCCACTCCTTCAGGTATTTTTTTAATATAATATTAGAGTATTTTGATTGGACACTAGTAACTAGTGCGACGTGTCTAGTCCTTTCTTTGGTGCAGACTGAATTCTACCAGTCAGGTTTGCAATGTGGCCACCATTCTAGGTAGCTCGCCATTATGGTGCACATTGATTTGATGATATTAGATAGTTGGAGGCAATCGGCAGGAAGCCTTGGACCTAGGTTTCGTGCTAGTTGGCACTCGTCAGCAAGGCGTATCTGCAACCTTGAAGTAACTCATGTCCCTTCTGAGATTCGAACCCGCGTCACCCAGTGCTGCAGTCAGAGACGTTACCACTGAGCTATTCGGGCTCGCGATTGACCTCCTGTAGGACTGTAGTGGGTATTTTGATAATATTAGAGTCAAATTGGTGGGTATATGACATTATCATTTTTACTAACACTTACTCGGACTCCTTAATCTTAAACCTTGTTTTAAACATAACCGATATCTTTGAGAATTACCATACAATTATAATGCGTGGAAACAGTTGAGAATAGAATGGCGAGTCTCACCTGCATATTAATCTCTATTATGGACATGAGTGGTAAACTGATAAAAAATATAGAATCCTCAATATTTTCTTTACTTAAAGTCCTCACTTCTTTCAATGAGGATTTATATCCTCAATTGCTCATGCACCTAACCTCTAAACTATATTTACTTGGAAAAAGCGGTAATTAACACTTTAAGGAACATCCTCTTATTTGGTTATCGAAATCTGTTTTATGGTTTGTGTCTTCTATCCATTACCACTCTCAATCTATCCTAGACTGAAGTAGATTAGTTTGTAATTTCACGAACTGCAAAGACAACAGAAGGCTTTAATTAAGCTGAAACTGCCTTCACATAAAGTTCAGTTACTTGATAGTTTATTTCTGATGAATTCAAATAATACTTCCTAATCTTATCGTGAAATATACTTACTAAATAGAATGTTCCTCACCTTTTTATCTATTGATAGATCAACTGTGATAGACAATAATTCCTAGTAATAAGGAATATGTTTCACTCACTGGTAGTTTCGAAACGTCTTTCAGTATGACTAGGTTTGATCTACAGTGGGGTCATAGGTGCTTACTACTGAAGATCTCCAGACTAAGACGAAACAGCTATCCAAGTCTTGTTGGTTTCCAATGGTTTGCTAACTCATGCGAATCCGTTGTCTAACTTGAGACCAGCCATATCCCTGCAAATCAACACTTCAGAATGCATTTATTTTAATTTAACTTAGCTATTTACAATCACCAGTGATTGAAAAGCAGTTTTCGGTGATGGGTAAATCATATTTTGGTTTGAATGACTTGTCGTTATGATAATGACGCCAACCTTATCATCTTAGAAAATAACGGTAATTCTCGGGTTATAGAACTATCATACCAACAGGAATCTTATTGGCTACTAACAAACCTATAAAATCAAGCTGATTTGTCCTCGTATAAACTATTGCCTCAATAATGAAGTGAAGTTTTTCACTAACATCCCTGCAGAATTCTCATGCTCACAGGACAAGTGACTGTCACTAGTTTATTGAACATACTTTCGTAAATTAATATCTAGTACCAATAATTATTCTTATAAATAATTCAACGAAGTTTTCGTAAACACTTCTACCTACTGAAAATAGATTTCAGTAGCTAAAAGAAAAGGAGGTCAGCGAAGAGTTACTTTTTTCGGTGATATCATTCTCAAGCTGTACAACCGCATATATACATAGTAAATTCTCTTAGCAACAAAAGGAATATTTCCAAAGATGTGTTATTAGAGTTTTAAATTTTAGATAACAAATTAAGTTACATAGAAAGCGTTAGTTGGGTAGAAACTTAAATTAAATTAATAAGTAAATTGAGTGACGTAATATAATTGACGGAGTTGAGAACAATTCAACTAAAATTTGAATGAGTGTCAAGTTAACAACAGTGGTATTAGGATATCATCATTAAACGTGCTGAAAAATCATCACAGATATGTCTACGGTTCTAAGTGATAACAACGATGTAGCACAAAAATTTTAAATGAGAACTGTTTGGATGATGAATTAATGAGAGTAGTAATGTCTCGTTCTATCCATATATACATATATTGAAATGAAATGAGTTGTCATTATGGAAATGAAACATTCTTCACTGTTAATCTTCATGTTATTTGTGCCCACTATATTGACTGGTCTATTTTCTCGGTGGCCTGCTTAAAACTTTGGCTACCGGCAAGCTCCATCAATATATTGCACATAATTTCTCTTATCCAATTTGTTTTAGTCTAACAAAATATCATAATTAGGCTGCACGTATGTGACAGAACACAACAAGGCAGTTGTTATCTGCATATTTCCAATTGTTTGAAGTTGTTGGTTTGAACTGATGCAATGCAGTTTTGCTGGTGTAATCACATGACACTCTGTTGTCCAGTTTAAACTCACCTCATGTAACACCGATCTGAAATTATCACAGATCTAAGAGAACACAAATTTTTCACAATTCCATGTTTATTTCACATTCGTTCAATTTTCAAATAACAATATCTTTGTTTTTACTGCAGTGATCTGAATTTCGTTATCTGTAACACTAATACCAATACGATTTTATCTACAACTTATACCGACCACTGTATGACAACACTTTCAAAATTGCATTTTTCTAAGCCTTTAAACAAAGATTCACCTCTGTATGAAACCACTTCTCGTTTAGAATGTTTGTAAGAGTCCGTTACCAAAAAGAAGACGAATGCAGTATCTTTAACGGCAGCTCATTATAACACTACACAGAAAATCGAAGTTAATTGAGGTGATGGTGGACTCCAGACAGGCTTCGATAATTTCTAAAAGACTGCTTTTTCGTGCACATAATTGCTTCCCATTGATTTCAGTTACATTCGAACCATAAACACTAGAGGAGCTGTAATCTGGAGTCCGACAGTGGACGAAATCAATATGATGTCCTTATAATCTACAAATCTGATGTTTGTCGACCACCATCACACTATTTATATTGATGATCTCACTGAATCAGATGGGTACGTTTACAAGAAGTCTGCATCTCATAATGTCGCCTTTAAAACAAATGCACATAACACCTGTAATCATATACACACCTTCACACAGAAAGTATACATCTAATCTTGTCAACGGTCATCTTCAGTTATATGACGAATGTCGAACTAACGGAAATACACCAGGAACTTGACTTAACCTGCAGACGCTTGCTAGAGAGAGGTCGTTACTGACGAGTGTCATTATCTAACTGTTTTTGGTTTCCGGATCCTCAAAAAGGAGACTCTGGGAAATACAACGACAACACATGACCACTAGCCTTAGTGGTAAGGTGTGCGCGACAAAATCAACAGGTTTTTAGAGATGCCAGAGAGCCAAATGTAATTGCATCCACCAATATACTAGTATTCATAAAGAGGTGGCTCATGAAATAGCCCTAAATACTCTGTTTGGCTCAAATGAACTCATCCTTGTATCTTTTCAATTAATAAACGCCTCTCAAGCATTCTAACAATTAATCTATCAATTACTCCATGGTATTTCTTGATTATGCACATGCATTCTCGACCTGTACACCGGCAATTTAGATGAGGTCAATAACGCTCTGACGGCTGAATAATTGAACCAATTCCTAACTGAGACACAGACGTATACTCTTTTTCATTTAAGATGTCACTTACCGTGTAATCAGATTCTCACCGTCACTCAACTCACTGACATCTTCTCTGTTGTCTCACAAGCACTACTTCATTGTCTATGTGTAATAGCCTGTTTGCTTCATTTGTCACTTTGGCTATTCAGTCACTCATAAACATCGAGTGGTTGTTAGTTGAAACGCTGTTTCCTTTAGGCGAAACAGTGAAGACACCTCTGACATTTCTCTTAGGAGCGCTTTGCAACAGCATATGGCAGTGGCTACTTTATTCCAAACAGTGCCTTAAGCACAATGTGGAATTTTCAGTATGTTGAAAGGTCAGCTACACCTGGCATTCCCATCGAGTCACCTATTCATCAAGTACTA